CCGGGTAGGTGGACAGAGTGGTGGCAGCAAAGGCTGGTGAGATGTAGGAGAATTGCTGCCTTCACCCTCTCTTCCCGGCCTTCTAGCCCCCATTTGCTTGAACTTATCCTGCCCCCCCCAGGAAGGAACAGTTTCTACATGGGTACTTGCCAGGATGAGCCTGAGCAGCTGGATGACTGGAACCGCATTGCAGAGCTGCAGCAGCGCAATCGAGTCTGCCCCCCACACCTGAAGACCTGCTATCCCCTTGAGTCCAGGGTGAGCTCTGAGGTCACCTGCATAGGACCTGGTTGTGCTGGCTCACCTCTTCCTCTTGGCATTCCTTCCCAGTGTCACTTGCTGACTAGCTTAAGTAATAGTGCCCTGGGTATCTGATCTCCTGAGGAAGGCGACTAGATGCTTCTAGTAGAACAGCTGGTAGGGAAGGAGCTCAGGGGTGAAGTCATTGGGGGTGGGCAGGAGCTTGGAGCAGTATGTTTGGGACTGTTTTTCTATGGCCATTGTGCAGGGAAGACAAAGGGGAGGGAGGCCTTTTGTGACAGGAAGGCTCCAGCTGTTCCTGATGCCAGGCCAGTGAAAAGTCTGGGGCAGTCCTGATACATCTCCAGACAGCTTGGGTCCACTGACCACTTCCACTCCATGCAGCCTTCCCTGAGCCTGGCTACCATCACAGACGAGGAGATGAAAACCGGAGACCCCCAGGAGACCCTGCGTCGAGCCAGCATGCAGCCAACCCAGATAGCTGAGGGCACTGGCATCACCACCCGGCAACGCAAACGGGTCTCCTTAGAGCCCCACCAGGGCCCTGGTACCCCTGAGGTAGGCAACATTGGCTCCTGTGTTTTATTCTAACAGCCTGCCAGGTCAGGTTCAGCTCAGCAAATTTGAAAGTGGAGGCTTCTGGCTCGGGGGCAGAGGGGATGTGCTGCTGGTTGGACAAGTTGACTTACAAGGTCCACTCAGCTGAGACGCCTGGCTTTGGATGTGAAGTCCTCTTATTGATGTCTGCCTAATTGGTCTCTTCTCCATAGACTAAGAAGCCCACCAGCTGTTTCCCACGCCCCATGACTCCCCGGGACCGGCATGAAGGGCGAAAACAGAGCACTACGGAGGCCCAGAAGAAAGCAGTCCCAGCTGTTGTCAAACAGGTTAGTTGGGGGCTGAAGGGAGACACTGGAAAGGCAGCAGTGAGCCCCATCTGACAGCCCCTCCCCATAGGATGACCGCCGCCAGTCCACAGCCTTCAACATCCTCAACACGCCCAAGAAGCTTGGTAACAGCCTTCTGCGGAGGGGGGCCTCAAAGAAAGCCCTGTCTAAGGCCTCCCCCAACACCCGCAGTGGAACCCGTCGCTCTCCTCGTATCGCCACCACCACAGCCAGCGCTGCCACTGCTGCCGCCATTGCTGCTGCCACTGCCACTCCTCGGGCCAAGGGCAAGGTGGAGACACTAACAGGGAAGGGGGAGGGTTGAACTCAGGAAGCCCAGCAGGAGCATGGGGCAGCCCCAGGGCAAGGCCAAGCTAGGCCAGTGGAGGCTGGGCGCTAAGCAGGTACTCCTTATCTTGGTGAGCTGCTTATTGTTAGAGTGGAGACAGACATATCCATTCCTAGTAAAACATCCGAGCTGTTTAGACACATCCAGCAACTGGTAACCTGAAGATAGATCTGTCCAGGGCCACACCATGGAAGGGAGCCTAGTCGGGGGGCTCTGGGAGCAGCTGGTGCAGGCTGATACCACAAGTCTCATCCAGCCAACTGACTGTGTTTCTCTTTCAGGCAAAGCACTAAAGGACCAGTACCAGTGAGCGGCCCCACCTATGTCCCTGATGCTGCCCTTGCCTGGTTCTTCTACTGTCCCTCAGTGCCTTCTCTCAGCTTCCAGGCCAAGAGTGGCCAAACCCCTAGAGACAGTGATGCCTGGCATACCTTGGCCTGGTATCTGGACCTTTACCAGAGCCTTCACTAGGTGAACAGATGGGTCTTCAGAGTTGGCCTGGAGCCTGGACAGTCTGGGTCCTCTCCCTACCTTGCCTCCTGATGTTTTTGCAAAGCAAAGTCATTTCTCTATCACAAGATTTGAGGATGGCTTTTAGCAGCTTGGTCTTTGGGCTCAGCCAGTTCCCCTCAGCCTCTGGATCTAGAAGGGACCATTGGAGTAGCAGGCCCTGGTTCCTGCTATTCCTGGTGGCTAGGTAGGCGTAACAGGGGGCCTTGCTCTTAAAGTCCAGGACTAGGCATTGACCTGGTGGGAACACTCTACCCCCAGGTGCTCCCATCCAGCCCAAGGGCACAGTTGCCCAGAGGATGTTCTTTTCCAGGACAGCAGGGAGGTGGTAAGGGGGGGTGATAGCTAGCCTTCAGCAGCAGCAGCTCATCCCCACCTTCCCTAGACTTTTACTGGGGTGGGATCTGGATGGATGGAAAGGTTTTTAAGGGCCAGGGATGGATCTTTTCTAAATGTTATTACTTGTAAATAAAGTCTATTTTTCTCCCTTGACTGCTGAGATGCCTGATCTGTGTGGGAAAGAAGAGAAATCTGGGTTCTTTAGAACTTACCTTTGTTCCTGTTGCGCCTTCCAGAACCTGCCTTCTTAAAAGTCCCTTCAGCCCAGACAATCTTCTCATACTCCACTGCTGACCGCTGCTCATGGAGTGTTATGGGCTGTTCTTTTCTGAGGGTCTGTGTCCCCTGAATGTACTTTTGTCTTTAGCTCCTTCCCATAGTCCCTCCTAGAACAGGCCAAGTTCTGTGAATGGGAAAATGGCCTAAATTTTCTGAGATGTCGGCATGCCTCTATGGAAAAATCATTTATGAATGCCCTTTGTGGGCCAGGCGGGATATGACAAAGATACAGCTGTAGAACAGAAGCAGCCTCTGCCCATATCCCTCAGACTCTATTTGAGGAAAAAAAAAATACTGGTTTAGCTTAGAGAGATTGTAGGTTCAGTTCCAGACCACTGTGATAAGTGAGCATCGCAATAAAGCAAGTTATACAATTTTTTTTTGGTTCGCAGGTGCATATAAAAGTTATGTTTACATTATACTGTAGTCTATTAAGTGTGCAATAGCACTTCTAAGAAACAATGTACATTAATTAAGAAGTGCTATCTACCACTTGAGCTTTCAGTGGTTTGCAGTGTTTTTGCTGGTAGAAGGTCTTGCCTTGATGTTGGCTCCTGACAGATAAAGGTAGTGGTTGCTGAAGGTTGGGGTGGCTGGGACAATTTCTTAAAATGAGAAAATGAAGTCTGCGGCATTGATTGACTGACTCTTCCACAGATGATTTCTCTGTAGTATGCAGCGCTGTCTGACAGCGTTCTACCCACAGACTGTATTTCAAAACTGGAGTCAATCCTCTCAAACCTTGTGCTACTTTATCAACTAAGTTTATGTAATTTAACAGGTGTCCAACCTGCAGCCTGTGGGCCACATGCAGCCCAGGATGGCTGTGAATGTGGCCCAACACAAAATTGTAAATTTACTTTTGAGACTTGTGATTATGTGTTGCAACATATTTAATATGTGGCCCAAGACAACCCTTCTTCCAGTGTGGTGCAGAGACGCCAAAAGTTTGGACACCCCTGGAATCCTTTGTTGACATTTCAACATTCTTCACAGAATTTTCACCAGGAGTAGATTCCACCTCAAGGAACTACTCTGGTCATCCATAAGAAGCAACTCCTCATTAAAGCTCTATCATGAGACTAGCAATTTAGTCATATCTTCAAGCTCCACTTCTAATTCTCTTGCTATTTCCACCACATCTGCAGTTACTTCCTCCACTGAAGTCTTGAACTCCTTAAAGTCATCTATGATGGTTGGAATCAACTTCTTCCAATCTCCTGTTAATGGTGATATTTTGACCTCTTCCCACGAATCACAAATGTTCTTAATAGCATCTAGAATGGTGAATCTTTTCCAAGTTTTTAATTTACTTTGCCAAGATCCATCAGAGGAATCACTATGGCAAAAACCTGAAAGTTGAAATTACTGATCCATGGGTTGCAAGATGTGTTAACGGGCATGAAAACATTAATTTCATACATCTCCAATAGAGCACTTGGTGACCAGGTGCTTGTCAATGAGCAGTAATATTTTGAAAGGAATCTTTTTTGTCTGTGCTGTCATGCAGACTTCAGTGTTTCATTTGCAGAGAACAGCACAGGCAGAATAGATTTAGCATAATTCTTAAGGGCTTTAGGATTAACAGTAAATGAACACTGGCTTTAACTTAAAAGTCAGCAGCTGCGTTAGACCCTTTGATGCCAGGTACTGACTTCTCATCTCCAGCTATGAACATCCTAGATGGCATCTTCTTTCAAAAGAAGGCTGCTTCTACATTGAAAATCTGTTTAGTGTAGCCACCTTCATTATCTTAGATCTTTTGGACAGTTTGCTGCAGCTTCTATATCACCACTTGCTGCTTCACCTTGTGCTTTTTTTATATTATGGAGACAGCTTTCCCTAAATCTCATGAACCAACTTCTGCTAGTTTCCGACTTTTCTTTTGCAGCTTCCTCACCTTGCTCAGCCTTCGTGGAATTGAAGAGCATTATGGTCTTACTCTGGATTAGGTTTTGGCTTAAAGGAATGTTGTAGCTGGTTTCATCTATCCAGACCATTAAAATTTTCCATATCAGCAATAAGGCTCTTTTGCTTTCTTACTACTAATGTGTTCACTGGAGTAGCATTTTTAATTTCCTTCAAGAACTTTTCCTTTGCATTTACAACTTGGCCGTTGGTGCAAGAGGCCTAGCTTGTGGCCTATCTCAACTTTCAACATGCCTTCCTCACTAAGCTCAATCATTTCTAGCTTTTGATTTAAAGTGAGAGACAAGTGACTCTTCCATTCACTAGAACACTTACAGGTCATTATAGGGTTAATGAGTGGCCTGATTTCAATGTTGCATGTCTGGGGGAATAGGGAGGCCCAAGGATAGGGGGAGAGATGGCGAACAGCCAGTTGGTAGAGCAGTCAGAAAACACACATTTATCAATTAAGTTCATTTAGGTACTGTGGTTTATGGCACCTAAACAATTTCAATAGCAACATCAAAGATCATGGATCACAGATCATAACAAATACAGTAATGATGAAAAAGTTTGAAATATTGCGAGAATTACCAAAATGTGATATGAAATGAGCAAATGCTATTGGAAAAATGGTGCTAATAGATTTCCTCAACACAGAGGAAGGTTTTTACAAACCTTCAATTTGTAAAAAGTGCAATATCCAGGAAGCACAGTAAAATGAGGTATGCCTATACAAGCATAACATATAACATTCAGTTGCTGCAGAATGTGGCCTGAGCTGAGAGACAGCCTAGACCTAAATGATGAGGTGGCATTTCAACCAGGCTTTAGAGTTCACCTGTCAGGCAGAGGGGACCCTCTGGAGGGCTTCTTCAGTAGGGGGCACAACTCTCCTCAGCCCAGCCTGGGGAAAGTGAAGGCAGACAAGGATAGAGTCAAGGGGGAAGGGACATTTCTCGCCACATTCCTCTAGGCCATGCTGCCTCTGCTTGAGTCCAAAGTTCTTTCTAGTTTCTACCTCAGGCTTGGGGACTTGGGGGACTATTTGTCATTAGCTAGAGACTACTCTGGGTGGAGCCCACCTACCCTTTCCTCCCCACGCTGGAGCAGAGCTGCTCCTATCCCTGGAAACCTTTCCTCAGTTTTCTCACCAAGAGATGGGCTGGGATGACGTGACGCTGGACAGTGTGCTCAGGATCCATAAAAACACAAGAGAAGTTGGTGCTGAGCAAGGCTGGGCTCAGCTCCTCCAGCACCAAGGCCTTCCACAGCTGGGTGCTTGTGCCCCTGCGCTCCCGGCTGGAGTGGAGAAGAAAGGCCATGAGAGGGCTGCAAGAGGCTGCCTCCCTCCCGCTGGCCTCACCACCACACCCCTCACCTGGTGCTGCCCTCCCACAGCCGGCCTGGGAGATGCTCTATGAAGGAACCATTGCCCAGCCAGTAAAGGATGCTGAAGTGGTGGAAGCAGCTGTAGGCGGTACAGGACAAAGTCAGCGTTCCATCTAGGGATACAAGCAGCCATCAGCCCTTCTGTAGAACAGACCCTCCCCCTACCATCCTCTGGCCTGCCCACGCTGCCCAGCTCTGCAGTCCCCACGATCCAGGGACCTAGAGTGCTGCCTGCACACCACCCAGGTGGCCAAGTTTGCTAAAGAGGAGGGGTAGTTGTCTACAACGGAAGCCCAGAGCTGAGCAAGAGGAGTTTGGGAACAGGTCCTTGGTTCAGGTGATGACCTTTTCTAGTGTCCAGCTTCACTAACTCTGGGAGCCCCAGCCGAGGAGGCAGCTCCAGTAGGCCACTTCTTCCCTGAGGTGGCCAGGAGGCAAGTGGGCTATGAGAAGAGGGGCTAGACCTTGCAGCACACTGCAGTCTAGACTCTGGGCAGCTGACCTTCTGGGCATAAGGAAAGACTTCTGACCTTTCCTTATGACTGAATTCTGGCACATTTGACATGGAACATCTTGGGAGCTGGGCCTGTGTGCACATTCATGATGTTGGGTGGGAGAGGGAGAGGGAGAGTGCCGAGTGCCCAGCCAAGCTGGCTGGGTTGGTGGGGAGCTGCATCACAAAAGAGCTGGGGGCTACGTTCAGGAGTCAATCCCTTGGATCCTCTGTGCCCACAGCCCACCCTCCAACCATTGTGCCCTCCTGGGTTCTTTAAAATTGCTCCTTACTTAGTGAGACTTCCACTTCTGGCCAGGTCACCTCCAATGCTGGGCAGCACTTAGCTGTTGTGAGAGTTGGGGGTCGGGAGGAAGAAGGGTCTTTTGTGATCCCACCTGAGGTCGTGGCAGCTGTGACGGCCTGAAGGATGGGCGTGGCTCTGGCCAAATGGCAGATGATGTGGGCACACAGGAATAGGACCCACAAAGGGCTGGTGTCTGAGGAAAAGAAGGTCACAGAGATCAGCAGCTGTAGGGACTGCCTGGGAATGCTCAGCACCCAGGTTCAGACCTTGATTGGAGAAGGAGTTGCTGCCCAGATACAGCCCTGGCCCAGAGATTCCTGGGCTCTGCCCAGGGAACTGGAGGGGCAGAAGGACCCTCAGCTCATTCCTCCTGTCGCTTTTTTGAAGGGAGCAGAGGAAGATTTTGGAATGGAGCCAGAGCCAGAGCACCTAGACAGAGGCTGAAAAAGTAGCAGTACAGTGGAGTGGAGTCACCTGGGGGCTACAGCTTGGGGCAACCACACCGTTCTCTTGCTCCATTCTGTTCTCAGAACCCTTGCTGCTCTCCCCTTCCCTCCCCTCCCCTCCCCTCCCCCTCATTCCCCCAAACACAGCCCCAGGTCCCACCTGGTGTCCAGTTCCATCTCGTGGTCATGATGTATGTGTCAGGAGCTGGCGTGCCTGGCTCTATATATGTATGTGATGAACTTCCTCCTCTTTGGGGGCAGGCGGGGGTGGAGAATGGTGAATAACTACTTCTTCACATTTTAAGCGTCGCCCTCTCCTCCCTGCAGATTCCACAGTCCCGAGTGGGTCTGACTTGCATGGACTGCTGGGCATCGCTATTTCCTCTGTCCACCTGTCCCAAATGACAACAGGAAGGCAGGCATCCAGCAGAGGCTGGAGCTCTTCAGCACGTAGAGACAAAGCTGGAGTGTTCTCCAGGGACAGTTTTTTTTTCACCCAAGCTCTTAACTACCAACCATGCTAGTTTCCAGTCCATCCTAACCCCTTTAGTATAGGGATAGAGAAACAGGGGCCCACAGGGGGACAGGGCACTCACCCAGTCACAGAGGGAGACAAGGCTCTCTTCACTGCCAGAGTTGGTTCTGGGAAAGGCAGGATAGAGTGAAATCCTTCTGGGAAAGCACTGGCCCCACACCCCATTTCACTTTCACTTTTACTCTAACCGAGTCATTCAAAGTAGGCTATATGGACAGTGAGCACAAACAGACACGCCACCTGGTAGGTTCCTGCCCCCCGGGCCTGAGCCAGAGTTCACAGTGGGCAGCAGCTCCTGGCACACCCTACTCTCCAGATGGTATTAGACTGGGTGGGGGCTTTAGTCTATCCTTAGTCTCACCTTCCCATGGTCACAAAGGGTAAGAAAGTCTCTTTCACAGATCACATTGATATTCAAGGGGACAACTGTCCTAGGCACTGGGGACCCCAACATGTTGCATTACTTTGACCATTTCATGTTCAATGTCACCCCAGCCCATCCACACCCTGATCTTTCTCAGGCTCCCCACTCCCCCAACCACTGAGCCAACACCTGCCCAGAACCACCTGAACTCAGATTCTCCCGTCTCTCAACCCAGCCCCTTGGCCAGAGATGCAGGTCTAGGTTCACCAGATGGTCTAGATTCCCCTACCTGGCTCCCAGGAAGCCTGAAGAGCCCTGCTTTTCGTAATAGCCCTTCTTGGAGCTCCACAAGCTCAGTTCAGCTATGCCTGGTCCCATGTGAGCCACATCATGGGAACTGCACTGATGGCACTGCCCAGACTTGTCTGCAGGAACCTCTCAGAGCCAAGCAAAGGCCATGAAACATGAACTGGTGCCCTCGCCCTAAAAGAAGGGCACTTCCCAGGGAAGAGGGCAAATGGCCTGGCACTTGCTCCAGCAACACCAGCCTGGTCGCTGATGGAATAAATGGAGCTGGGGCTGTGGCAGGGCCAGGACTAGGATGAGGTGCGGTGAGGCACTCACTGCCAGGGTCATGGAGGCAGAAAAAGAAAGAATGGTGACCCAATGCATGCGTTTATCAAGTGTGAAGGACAAAACCTAAGTGACTGAGGTTTGTGACTTCTGTGGTCAGCAGGATGGCAGAGCTGGGGACAGAGCCAGGCAGGTAAGGGCACGAAACTGGGTTTAGAGGATGCGTTAGGAACACTGTCCACTCCAATCCCACAGGGGTTTTCCTGATGTGGAAAACCAGACTCGTACTAGTTTAGAAGACAAGTCACATCCTGTTTTCTACGACTCTGCTTGACATTTTCCAACCGCCAGTCCCTCCCCTACCTCCTGCCCCAGGAACTCCTAGGCTGCAGGGCACAGGGAAATGCTGCCTCAGGCACCCCGGCACCCTGCAGCTGTCAGGAGGCAAGGCTGCCCGGGGCTCCCAGACACACAGTCCTTTGAGGTAGGGGTGGAGGCTGAGATGGAGAGGAGATAGGCTTCTGCTTCAGAGTGTCACCAAGAACCAGAGTTAGGCCGCTGGGAGGTCATGGGACTCAGGACTGGTGAAATGTGAAGAGCGAGCTTTGAACAGCTGGGCCTCAGCTTCTCACATGAGCCTGATGTGGGAGTTGAGGGGACAACAGTGAAAGGATGATCCCTGGACCCTTCAACCAGCCCCTTCTCCACCCTCTGAAGATGGGCACGAGCAGTGGGGGACCATGGGAAGCCACACTGAGTAAGAGAATCAAAGCTGATGATGGCCCCTGAAAAGGGGTGGTGGCAGGGCACTGACCTCAGGTGGTGAGGACATGGCCACCCGGTGATGCCCCAGGGCCCCTTCTGCCACAGGACAGGAGCCTGACATTCCACCACTCCCAGGGATGCTGTGTGGGGCCAACCACCCAGGGCCCCAGCTCTCCAACGGGAACAGCAAAAGGCAGCCAACGCACCCCTGAGGACCCCAGGGAAGGAGGTGGGAAAAAGAAAAGCAAGATAATGTTCAACTTTCCAACCCAGCTCATGGAGCTTTATTAAGAATGGAGTGACAAGATCTTTCTTGGTTCTTGCTGCCCTTGAAGGGGTAGGCCCAACTGGGCCATACTCCCTAGGAGCACAGTGAGGAAGGCCCATGTCTACCATCCTACTTCCTTCAAAATGCCTAGGACCAGAGCTGGGGTCTGTCTCCCTGGAACCCCTTTTCAGAAGCCATACTCACCTGGGCCTTACCCTCCTCCCACCTACCCCAACTCATGCTGGCAGGCCCAGGCAGGGTCCTTGAATGACGAGGCTGACACAGGGATACTCCCTGGCCTGGGAATCCCCTGCCAGCTTCCAGGGAAGACTGACGACAGGGAGAAGTCTCGTGTTTCTTACAATCCCTCTGCCACGCCCATTCAGATGAACGTACACACACTCGCCCAGGCTTTCGGGGAAGGAAGTGATGTGGCAGAATGGCCTTTGGCACATGTCACCACTTCCTGGCACAGGAGCCCCCATGGCCTCCGATGGGCTCCTGGCTGAGCACAGTCCTGCTCGGGGCAGGCTACTCAAGCTGTTACTGCTTCTGGCTGACCACAAACAAGTCCTCAATGCATTCTGAGGCGCTGAGGCTTCCCTCACTGGAAAAGTCATAAAGTTCCACTTGCCCCAACCAGCCTATGGCTCCCGGACAGGGAAAGAGAGAAGACACCTCACCTCTCAGTACTCATCTGTCACCAGTCGGAGGGCTTCAGCTCTTCCACACAGAGTGTGTCAGGCTTGAGCCCCACGGAGGGAAGGAAAGAAGGGGGTGGGCTGAGGCTCTCAGCCAGAGGCAAGAAGGCTCCTTTAAACCAAAAATGTTGTGGCTTTGCTCCTGCCCTGCTCAAGCAGGAAGGATAAGGCCTGGAGGAGTTGGGGCAATTCTTATGCTCCACAATATAAAAGGTTTTTAAATATATTCATCAAAATAGTTTTCTTTTAAAAAGCTCCCACTGCTGACAGCCCCACTGGCTAGCTCGCCATCATATCCCTCCCCAGCCCGGTCACAGCCAGAAGGGTCCTGATGGCCCAAGTGCCCCTTGAGTATTTCCCCCCAGGAGGTCTTGAAGGGCAGAAAGGAGTGTGCCCTGAGGTCCATGGTGGGTGGATGCTCTTCTGCCTGACTATTCCAGGCCCAGGATGTAGTTGATGCCTTGTACCAGGCCAATGATGACAGGCTGCCAGGCTACCAAGTATCGAAGCCAGTCCAGCAGCTGCCCATACATGACGTGAGGCCTCTCCCAGCTGCCAGCGTGTTAAAGGAAAGAGGCCATGCACAGAGCTGCTAAGGTTGGTCTCAGGGGTGGGTTTGCCCATGTCCTCCCTGGGACTGCCCGCGCTTTCCAGTTGTTCCACAAAATCAGCCTCTTTCTAGAAAGTCTCACCAGCCTTCCCATGTTGGAATAAAAGGCTAAACCCAGAGAAAAGTGGAGGGAGGGCAGAAAGGAACAGTGGAGAAGATGGGGGTGGAGAGGTGAAACTAAGTCCTCCATGACTGACATGCAGAGAGGGTCGCCCATGCAACAGCTTCTCTGAGAAAAGACTGGCAGTGTGAGAGAACACAGCCTTGGGACTGCTGTAAATGCACCTGTGCCAATGGCTACAGGGAAGCTGGGAGTTAAATAACACAACTCCAAAGGTTCTTATAAGGCCCAATAGGGAACTTTTTCTAGGTCAAGGGAGAGGTTGAGTCTAGGGACAGGAACAAGGGAACAAGAGGCCAGTCACAGGAGATAACCCCTGGCAGAGGCCTCAGGAAATCCCCACCCAGAGGCACTAAGCACCAGGTCCTACTGAGGCCCAGTGGCTCTGGAGATGAGTTCCCTTCATTTTGCTTTATAGCTAAACAATGGGCAAGACATCAGGAAAGGAAGCCTGGGATTCCAGTTCTGGGCAAAGAACAGGTTGACCTCCTGAGACTTGGGGGAGGGACAGAACCTCTCCAAAGGCATCAGAAAGAGAAGACTGACTTCTGGCCAAGATGGAGGCATAGGTAGTTGCACTGTGCCTCCTCGTGCAACCAAAACTAAGGACAACGAGAATTTAGAAACAAAAAACAACCAGAACAGAGAGAAATGAACTGAACGGAAGTCTGACAACGATTCATCCAGACTGGTAAGGAGGGGCGGAGTCGGAGGCCTACGGAGAGGGGTTCCGGCAGGAAAAAGCGGTGGCTGGCAGACATGGGTGCGCAGGGCGCAGGCGGCAGTTGGCAGACCCCACAAGTGCTGGGGCAGCTGACAGACCCGGTGGCAGACCCTGGGCGTGGGGAGGCAACGAGCAGAACCAGTGAGGTGCACAAGGCAGCTGGCTGTCCGCAGCCACACATTCACGCGCAAACTAAGTAAAAACAGGTAGTGCGACACAGACCACACAACCCAGGGACCCAGCACCAGGAAACAAAGCCTAAAGGCACCGATTGAAAACACCTGTGGGGGTTGAGGCTGGGAGATTCTCTCAGCCTCACAGGAGGCTCCTTGGAGAAACCCACAGAGTCCGAGAGAGTTCACAAGCCCACCCGCCCGCGAACCAGCACCAGAAGGGCCCAATTTGCTTGTGAGAAGTGGCAAAGGGGACTGAAGTCCTAGAGAGAGCGGAGCAGGCGCCATCGTTCCCTCTCGGGTCCCGCCCCCACATGCAACATCACAACCCAGTGACTGAGGTGCCCCGCCCTGGCGAACACCTAAGGCTCAACCCCTCATATGTAACAGGCGTGACCAGACCAAAAGAAAAAATAAAATAAAATAAAATAAAAAAGATGGCTCAAACAAAATTAAAAGCCCCAGGGCCAGTTTTTTAAGTGACCGATAGCCAACCTATCAGATGCACAGTTCAAAGCACTGGTGATCAGGATGCTCACAGAATTGGTTGAATTTGGTCACAAATTAGATGAAAAAAAAAATGAAGGCTACGCTAAGTGAAATGAAGGAAAATGCACAGGGAACCAATAGTGATGGGAAGAAAACTGGGTTTCACATCAATGGAAGGGACGAGAAAGAAGAAAGGAACAACCAAACAGAAAAGAATGAAGAAACAAGAATTCAAAAAAATGAGGAGAGGCTTAAGAACCTCCAGGACATCTTGAAACGTTCCAACATCCAAATTATAGGGGTGCCAGAAGGAGAAGAGGAAGAGCAACAAGTGGAAAAATTATCTGAACAAATAATAAAGAAGAACTTCTCCAATCTAAGGAAATAGACTTCCAGGAAGTCCAAGAAGCTCAGAGAGTCCCAAAGAGGTTGGACTCAAACAGGAACACACCAAGGCACATCATAATTACATTACCCAAGGTAAAAATGAAGGAGAGCATCCTAGAAGCAGCAAGAGAAAAGGAAGCAGTTACCTACAAAGGAGTTCCCATCAGGATGTCAGCTGATTTCTCAAAAGAGACCTTGCGGGCAAGAAGGGGCTGGAAAGAAGTATTCCAAGTCATGAAAGGCAAGGACCTACAGCCAAGATTGCTCTATCCAGCAAAGCTTTCATTTAGAATGGAGGGGCAGATAAAGTGCTTCTCTGATAAGGCCAAGTTAAAGGAGTTCATCATCACCAAGCCCTTATTATATGAAATGTTAAAGGGCCTTATCTAAGAAAAAGAAGATAAAAAATATGAACAGTAAAAAAAGACATCAAACTCACAGTAACAACCATACCTAAACAAAAGCAAACTAAGCAAACAAATAGAAAAGGAACAGAACCACAGAAATGGAGATCACATGGAGGGTTAGCAACAGGGAAGTGGGAGGAGGAGAGGGGGGAAAAGATATAGAGAATAAGTAGCATAGATAATAGGTAGAAAAGGGGGAGGGCAAGGATAGTATGGGAAATATAGAAGCTAAAGAACTTATGACACATGGACATGACTAAAAGGGGGGGAATGTGGGTGGGAGGGGGTGGGCAGGGTGGAGGGGAGTGAAGTGGGAAAATGGGACAACTGTAATAGAATAATCAATAAAACATTTAAAAAATAAACAAAATAAACTATAAGTTCCCTGCAAGAAAAAAAAGAAAGAAAGAAAGAGAAGACTAGCCTTGTGTCTGAGAATGAAGGGAAGTCCCAAGCATCTGCTTGACCATGGAGTTACTTAGCTGTTTCTAAACTAGTCCCTGCAAGAACCAGACAAGGAACCTAAAAGGGCCTGTCTCCTGTTCAGGGACTGTGCAAATGTACTGGGAATGCAGTGGCTCCCACACAGCCCAGCTAGTGTCCAGGGAATAGGGAACCACAGTACAGAGAAAAAGGGCAGCTGGGAACAGAGGGGAGAAAGCTGGGTCTCTGGATCCCAGGGGGAATGAAGGAGACAGGCAGAAAAACAGCTGGGTACTTTCTAACAGACAGCCTGTGAGGAGAATGAGGGTGAGGGTATAGTGGGGAAGGCTGGCAGGGTAGGAAGTGGTAGCTCAGAAGAACACAGGTCGTCTGTTCATAGTGGATGGGAGTTCCTCAGCCATCCCTGCAACTTGCAGGCCCTGCACAGGTAAGACCACCATGGTCTCCAACCCCATATGCCATAGACAAGGCATCATCACCCACTAGTCATGTAACATTGAGCAAGTTACTCAGTCACCAACTGTTTCATCTGTAAAATGAGAGTATTACCCAAGCTGTAAAGTTGCTTGAGAATTAAATGAGATTAATTATGAGTAGATCACTTAACACAGTACCAGGAATATAGTAAGCAAGCAGTAAGTGGTAGGTGCCATAACTACCCACTTATCCTTGAGGATTCTAGAACGATGATGAGAAGCTTAGGCATTAGTCCTGCCCCATGTTCTACCCCCAACTTTCTTAGACCTGAGGCCAAACAGAATGGTGGACATGTACCAAATTGGGGGCAGGATGGAGGGCCCCAGGAGGACTCAAATGCCTGGTCACCATGGCCAGTGCTTTCTTCCCACTGCCCACTCCCAAAAGGAACCCAAACAAAGGATACGGGTTGCTGAACATCCTCTTGAGATCTACCTTCTCCTTGCAGTAGGGACATGTCTGCTTCTTTCCCACAATGCACCAGCCACGGATGCAGAACTCGTGGAATCTGAGCATCACCGGTCAAGGGAAATAATGGCGGGCAGCCAGGGTGACCACTCCAGCTCTGTGCCAGTCTCTAAAGTGCCCATGCACTAGCTCTGGAGAAAGTTTCAAAAGCCTGGCTTCACCCCTTATCAGCTGTATAATCTTGGGTGAGTCCCTTCTCTCTGAACCATTTTACTCATATGTGAAGTGAGAATCATGATCTCTACTTTATACAGTCATTCTGGGGGAAAGTGTGGATAACGTAATACACGGCAGAGAATGAGAGCTAAGTACATGACACATCTTAGAAGTGTTATTCGGGGATCTGATTCTAAAACAGGGGTGCAGTAAGAGGATACTCTTCCCCTGTGACCCATTCCAATCTTGGGCACTAGTGCAGCTTCAGGCTCCTCTCTGAGCCATCCAGGCTATGAATACAATTTACATAAGAGTGGCTCCCATTGGTAGGGAATAACAAGCAAGGCTGTGGTTGCCACTCCTGGGTGTCGGCTTCTCTAGCAAGGAACATCACCCAAATGTCTGCCCTGTTGTGACTATCCTACACTCTACGGTTAGGGCACCATGCCCCTTCCCTCCCTGACTGCACTGTGCATGTGACCCAGGAGCTCCATGCAGGATACACATGATTGCAAGACAGCCTGTACGTGTTCTCGATGATGCCTTCTTCACTGACATCCACATGGATCTGCTGGCCACACACGGCACACATGCTGTCCGAGAGGTGTTTGGTAGGTATGCCCGACTCGCTGTAGAACTGGGAGAGAAGAACACAAGGAAAAGACAGGAAGACGTGAGAATCAGACACAGTGGGAAGCTACTACAGAGGCCTTACGTCCTCTAGCAAGAAAGCAAAGTTGCAGGGGGGGGTCACAAAGCCAGAGGACATCTTTTGACCTCAACAGGGGAAAGGGACATACCAGAGATGGGTTGGGAGGTCAGATCTAATAGGACCTGGAAACTAGGCTGGGTCGGCCTCAGGGACAAGGAGAATGGCAGGGAGAAGGACTCAGGGCTGGAGACCAGGAGCTACTGTCAGGTAAGCCACCCTGTGGCCCGACTATGGTTCCACAGACATGGACAACATCTCTAAGATTCAAAACTGAAATATCCAGAGCAATGCTGTTTTGGTGATAAGGGAATTTTCAGACACTTGTGGCAGCAGCAAAAGAGGTTCAATCCTTTTGGATAGCATTTGGCATAGTATCTCCAATTGTCACACACTTTCACCCACTGATTTTGCTTCAAGGATTCTAAATAAATACAAATGTCAAGAAAGCTTCATGTATACAGATATTCATTTAAGTGTCATTCATAATTAAAGAAGCAAAGAGTTTGGCACTTCCTCTAAAAGTTACACAAAGAGCCCTGGCTGGTGTGGCAATGGATTGAGTGCTGGCCTGTGAATCAAAGGGTCGCCAGTTTGATTCCTGGTCAGGGCACATGCCTGGGTTGTGGGCCAGGTCTCCAGCTGGTGTGCACATGTAACAGGCAACCACACATTGATGTTTCTCTCCCTCTCTTTTTCCTTCCCTTCCCCTCTCTCTAAAAATAAATAAATAAAATCTTTTTTTAAAAAGTTACACAAAAAAATAACCATATGACACAGCAATTTCACTCTTAGGTATATACCTCCCAAAAAATGAAAACAGGGAATAAACACACACTTGTATGCCAGTGTTCATCACAGCACTATTCACAATAGCCAGAAGGTGGAAACAATCCATGTGCCAATCAATACATGGATAAGTAAACAAAATGTGGTATATCCACACAATGGAATGTGATTCTGTCATTAAAAATAATGATGGTCTGCCCTGGCTGGCGTAGCTTAGTGGATTGAGCACAGGCTGAGAACCACAGTGTCGCAGGTTCGATTCCCAGTCAGGGTACATGCCTGGGTTGCAGGCCATGACCCCCAGCAACTGCACATTGATGTTTCTCTCTCTCTCTCTCTCTTTCTCCCTCCCTTCCCTCTCTGAAAATAAATAAAATCTTAAAAAAAAATGATGTTCTGAAGCATGCTACAACACACACAAACCTCGACAACACTAAAGAAGGTGAAATAAGCAGACACAAAAGGACAAATATTATATGACTCCATTTATATAAAATACATAGGCAAATTCATAAAGACAAAGTAAATTAGAGGTAGTCAGGGATTAGGAGGATAGAACAGGAAGTTACTGCTTAAGGGGTAAAGTTTCTGTTTGGGATGACAGTTACACAACACTGTGAATGTAATTAAGGTACTAAATTGTACACTTAAAAATGATTAAAATAAAAAAAAGTGATGAAAAGAACAAAAAATAGATTATCATGTGGAAAAAAATGGCTAAAATGGCCCTGACAGGTATGGCTCAGTTGGTTGGGTGCCATCCCACAAAACAAAAGGTTGTTGGAATGATTCTGGGTCAGGGCACATACCTAGAACCTAGATTGCAGGTTCAGTCCCTGGTCTGGGCACATGAGAGAAGAAACCAACTGATGTTTCTCTCTCACATCAATGTTTCTTTCCCTCTCTATCTCCTTCCCTTCCCATCTCTCTAAAAGTAAATTAATTAATTTAAATGTTTTTATATTGCTAAAATGGCAAATTTTATGTTATATACATTTTACCACAATTAAAAAGTTTTATAAAAAAACAAAAACAAAAAAAGGAAATAACCATAAATGATCAACAACTAAGAATGCCTAAATAAACTATGGTATGAAGTCAAGGGATAAACAGGCAGCCAATCAACTGAAACTTGAGATATATAGGGTACAGAATTGGAGGCACAGTACGATAGGTACTAAATATAAAGACAAGCCCATATCCACACAAGAAAAAAGATCAGGTGGAAATATATCAGAATGTACACAAAGAAGGTATTTTGGGTGGCTCAGTGGATTGAGTGCTGGCCTGTGAACCAAAGGGTCACTGGTTCAATTCCCAGTCAGGGCACATGCCTGGGTTGTGGGCCAGGTTCCCAGGAGGGGACACATGAGAGGCAACACACACATTGATGTTTCTCTCCCTCTCTCTAAAATAAAAATAAAATCTTTAAAAAATGATGTTTTGGCAGTAGGATTATAAATGATTTTTCCTTTTGCCCACTTTTCTGTACTCAAATTTTCATTAATGAATATATATTACTTTTAAAGATTATTTATTACCATGGATAATTGCAATGGATAACCAACTCCAGTCTCCAAAAAGAAATTCTAAATTTTGCATACTTTAGCTACTTATCATTTCCTTCTCACCCCAAGGAGAAAAGACTTGAAATTTATTCATTAAAAACTTTTAAGGGCTGGGAACCAAAGTGTCGCAGGTTCGATTCCCAGTCAGGGTACATGCCTGGGTTGCAGGCCATGACCCCCAGCAACTGCACATTGTTGTTTCTCTCTCTCTCTCTATCTCCCTCTCTTCCCTCTCTAAAAATAAATACATAAAATCTTAAAAAAAAAATTTTAAGACCTATAGTTTGTTTCTTTTGTTTTAAAAATTGTTATAAAACATAAAATTTACCATTTTAACTATTTTTATTTTATTATTTATTTTTAAATTATTTTTTTGGATTATACTAATATAGTTGTCCTGATTTTTCCCCCTTTGCTACCCTCCAACCAGCATCCTCCACTCCCTCAGCCAATCCCTACACATTTGTTCATGTCCATGGGTCACACACATAAGTTCTATTTGGCTGCTCCATTTCCTATACTGTACTTTACATCCCCATGGCTATTCTGTAACTACCTATTTGTATTTCTTAATCTCCTCACCTCCTCACCCATTTCCCCCTCCCATCTGGTAACCATCAAAATGAATTTGGTTTCTGTGATTCTGTCTCTGTTCTTGTTTGCTTAGTTTGTTTTTGAGATTCAGTTGTTGATAGATATGTATTTATTGCCATTTTATTATTCACAGTTTGATCTTTTTTTTAATAAGTCCCTTTAATATCTCATATAATAATGATTTGGTGATGATGAACTCACTGGTGTTTTTTCCTGTCTGGGAAGCTCTCTATCTGCCCTTTGATTCTGAACGACAGCTTTGCTGGGTAAAGCAGTCTTGGCAGTAGGTCCCTGCTTTTCATGACTTTGAACATTTCTTGCCAGTCCCTTCTAGCCTGCAGAGTTTCTTTTGAGAAATCAGCTGAATCTTATGCAAACTCCCCTGTAGATAACTAACTTCTTTTCTCTTGATGCTTTTAAGATTCTCTCTTTATCTTTAACCTTTGGCATTTTCATTATGATGTGTCTTGGAGTGGGCCTGTTTGCATCCATTGTGTTTGGGACTCTCTGTGCTTCCTGGACTTGCATGTCTATTTCCTTCACCAAACTAGAGAAGTTCTTTCATTATTTTTTTCAAATAGATTTCCAATTTCTTGCTCTTTCTCCTTTTGGTACCCCTATAATATGAATGTTGGACCTTTTGAAGTTGTCCCAGAGGCTGGTTATACTACCCTAATTTTTTTGGATTCTTCTTGTTGTTCTGATGGATTGTTTTTTGTTTCCTTATGTTCCAAATCATTGATTGGATTCTCAGCTTCATCCATTCTACTGTTGTTTCCCTGTAAGTTGTTCTTTATTTAAATTAGTGTATACTTTGTTTCAGACTGGATCTTTTTTATGCTGAAGTCTTCACTAAGTTCCTTGATCATCCTTATAACCAGTGTTTTGAACTGTGCATCTGACAGACTGCTTATCTCCATTTCATTCAGCTCTTTTTCTGTAGTTTTTATCTGTTCTTTCATTTGTGCCATGTTTCTCTGTCTCCTCATTTTGGCAGCCTCCCTGTGTTTTTTTCTATATATTAGAGCTGCTCTGACTCTGTGCCTTGGTAGTGTGGCCTAATGTAGTAGGTGTCCTGTGGCACAACGTCCCCTATCACCCAAGCTGAGTACTCAAGGTATGCTGTTCATGTGGGCTGAGTACACCCTCCTCTTGTAGTTGAGCTTTGGTTGCTGTTGTTGGCACATCAATAGGATGGATTTATCCAGGCCAGTCAGCTGCAACGATTGGCTGTGACCACTTACTACCAACCTCCACCCTCCGTGGAGAATCAGCTGTTAGGGGCAGGGTGGTGGTGCTTTGATGTGGTCTGTAGCTGTCTACTAGGTGCCATGGCCCTGGGGTCTCCCGGGTGGTGCAGGCCAAGGTGAGCCTCCACCTGTGTTTTGCTTGGGGCCACCCTACCTTAGGTATAAAGCAATGTGAGATGGCTGCTACTTGTCCTGGGCTTGGAGATTCCCAGACAAAGCCAAGCCGTGAATCTAGGCTGGCTGCTGCTGGTACTGGGCCTGGGGCTCACTGATTCTGGCTAGTGCTTATTTGAAAGGATTTAGGAAGTTGTGCAGTGTGACCCAAGACCAACCATTCATATGGAGAAGCAGCTCGGGTGGGCCCTTAAGTTGGGAGGGGCAGAGTCTCTAGGGACATCCAAGGTGGGCCAAACACCACCGTTTACTGAGCTTATTGGCTCAGTGGTTCTATGGGGGTGAGGGCTCAGAAAAGGGACAATGGCCTCTACTAGCACTGAAGCCAGATACCCCAGTTTCTCTCAGTATGCCACTGAGGCCTTTCAAGCTGCTATCCCTGTGCTGGAACTCAGAGGGAGTAAATCTGAATAAGTCCATGTGTGGGTTCTTTAAGAAGAAATGTTTGGGGCTCCATCAGTTTCTTCTACCAACTCAATCCCTGCTGGTTTTTGTGGCCAGACTTCTTTCTCCTGAGATGTCCCTCCTGAATTTTTATCCACCTCACATGGGT